CCGAAATGTCCTCAGGATATCAAAGACTGCTTTCAGGTCGGCCAGATGATCCCCAGGTTCTTTGGTCTTCACGACCATGTCATCAATGTATACCTCCACTGTTTTACCTATTAGATGTCTAAACATCTTAGTCACCAATCTCTGGTAAGTTGCTCCTGTATTTTTCAACCCAAAAGGCATCACTTTGTAGCAATGCAGCCCTTTTAGGGTGATGAATGCAGTCTTTTCCTCATCGGGGGGGTACATGGCTATCTGATGGTACCCCTTGTAAGCGTCCAGGAAGCTCATCTTTCCATGCCCTGAGGTGGCATCCACCAATTGGTCAATCTTGGGGAGTGGGAAACTGTCTTTGGGACAAGCCTTGTTCAGGCTAGTGAAGTCCACACAGACCCTCCACTTCCCATTCTTCTTCTCCACAACAACTGTGTTTGATAACCATGTTAGGTAGTTTACTTCTCGAATGGCTCTGGCCTCCAAGAGCTTATCCACTTCCTCTTCTACTGCCTCAACATGCATCAACGCAGGCCTCCTTGCTCGTTGGATGGCAGGTTTGGCCAACCTGTCCACATTCAGTCTATGACAAGTGACCTCGGGGTCAATGTCAGGCATCTCATATGGTGTCCAGACAAACACCTCAATGTTTGCTCTTAAGAACGCCTCTAACTCCTTGTTCTCTTCCTTGGACAAGCCTGAGCCGCGAAGAAAGAAGTGCTCCTCATCCCCTTACTGGACTAGGATCTTCTTCAGGGCTTCCTCACTTTTCTCGGCCGATTCTTTGCCGACGTCCTCAAGGACCTCCATGTCTTCATCCTCAATATCTACTGTTTCTGCTTCTCGTATATTGCAGGTGGATTTCATTGCTACCATGGAGCAGTTCTTTGCCTGCATATGATCCCCTCTAACCTCCTCAATTCCATGTTCTGTTGGGAATCATAACAGCTAGTGCAGTGTTGAGGGAACAGCCCTCATTGCATGCAGTCATGGCCTTCCAAGGATAACATTGTAAGGGGAGGGGGTGTCAATTATTGTGAACTCTATATTTACCTTCTTGGTGCCAGCCTGCATCTCCAAACTTATTGCTCCCAAGGGCCATGTTGGCATTCCGTTAAACCCAACCATTAAACTATTGGATTGTTCCAGATCATCTTGGTGAAGGCCAAGCTCCTTGTAACATCTGACATACATGATGTCACAAGAGCTGCCTTTGTCGATTAGAATGCGCTTTACCTGGCACTCTCCAATCTTGAGGGATATTACCAAGGCATTGTTGTGTAGATATTGCACCATTGTAAGTGTTTCACCTTTTGAGTTTCCCCACGTATCTCGTTCTCATTGACCTTCGAGTAAATCACATTAATCACTCGAGATTCGCCTGCTTGTGGTTGTGGTGCTGGTGGAGGTGGTGCTGTTGGTGCTGGGGCAGTCTTGCTTGTTCTTCCCTTGTCCTGGCCTCATCTACCAAGTCCCTTAAATGACCTTGTCTTACCAGGTCTTCCAGATGTGCCTTTAGGGCTCTGCACCCTTGAGTCAAATGCCCATCCTTATTGTGGTAGGCACATCGCTTTCCCAGACTTCTTCCCATAAATTCACCAGGAATCTTCTCTAGTGCTCTATAATAGGGTCGATTCCGAATTCTTTCCAAGACTTTGTAAATCGGAATTCGGAATACGGTAGTGATTGCTTGTGCAGCCCTCAATCTTGTCTCTTGTTTGTTGTATCCAGTATTACCTCGGCCTCGCTTCGGCGAGCCGTTTCTCTTCTCTTGTTTCAACGCCTTTGTACCTAGTTTGTCTTCCTCGACTCTCGCATAATTCTCAATCCTGGCCATGAGTTCCTCTATACTTTTTGGCAGTGTCTTTGCCAGTGATTTTTGAAGCAGACAGTCATCATTCAGGCCATTCTTAAAAGACACGACCGCCATCTCTTGGTTGCAACTTGGTATTCGGTTAAACACCTCGTAATACCTTTTGGCATAAGCCCTGAGACTTTCATCTTCGCCAATTCTCAAAGCCATCAGGGAGTCCACCCCCAACGACTGTAGTTTGTTTGTCACAAACCTGGCCACGAACATCTCGGTCAGGCCTTTCCAACTTTTCACAGTTCCTTTCGGCAACTTATAAAACCAGTCCGATGCGATTTTCCCAAAGGACGAGGGGAACACTTTGTAGAGCAACGGCTCGTTCCCGGTGTACAGTGCCATTGAGTTTAGGTACAAGCCGACGTGAAAGTTGGGGTCAAACTTACCATCGTATATCTGGAATCTCGGCATATGGAACCTTTTCGGGGCCTCAAATTTGTCCAATTCTACTGAAAACGGCATTCTCGGCTTAACTGGAGAGGTTACCTCGGCATCTTGTTGCTTCCTGTGGAGGTACTCCCTCAAATCCTCCTTGGTCCGTCCAGGAGCTCGACTATCAATGGATTTCAACCTTTTTGGTGCGCTACTCTCTGTGTCATTATGAGTCCTCTTGGACCTCCCTCCATTAGTCGTGTCAAAACAGAGCTCATTCCCTTGAACATGCCGATGTTCTTTGGTGTAGACTTCTTTGGTACGATGTGTTTTTAGAGACTCTCCCTTCATCGACTATCCTCGCCCGACCTCCCGTGAAGGCTGGCAAGAGTGTTCCTTGGTCCTGGTATGCTGAGGGACTGCAGGAACTATTTTCTGCCCCCTTTTTTGGGCATCATTCTTGGCCGCTAGAATCGGCGTGTCTTGTAACGGAAACGGTGGCTGCATGACATTGTTCTGCATCATGAAATTAACAACCGATTGCAGGCGCCAATTTGTTCGCCATTCCCTTCATCTCGCCGTCCCTCCGCAGGCATCTATCCTTCTATACCTGGAGGTCGTTCTCATTATAATACTCCCATCGGTCTGCCGTCTTTGGTATGTCTCATTCCTGGCCAACGTCTTTTTCTCCAGGATTCTTATCTTAAGTTTCTTCGTTGCAGTTATCCTCCTCAACGTTAGGGTCAATGTGTTTACCACTTCCAGTAGGAATGTCGTCCCCAATCTTCTCTTTTTGTCCGTCGTTGGCCATCTATTCTCCTTTCTTTCCCACAGATGGCGCCAAATTGTGGGTGTTGATTTCTAACCACACTACCAAACAAGTACTCAACGGGAGAACATCGGCAGAAAAGATGGCATCCAAACAACCTATCACAGAAAAATAAGACTCCGACAGTGGTTCGTCCACCCGGGGGCACTCCGACGATCAAGTCAGTACTCAATTATCTCTCAAAGATAGCAAATAGTGCTTTAACTCACTAGTCAGGATACAAAAAGCGTACCTTAAACCCACGAGGCTACCTTACTTTTAGAGCCAGCACTAACCTAATCTCTATAGAAGCTTAGCTTCTCTTGGACTCTGGCTCAATACTCATCCTGGACTCTCCAATAGATAAAGATAAACTTCTTAGAAGCTTTATCCTTATCTAGGCTAAGGTCCTCCCCCACTTTAGGACTCTTATAGCATATCCGTTCACCTCTGATTCCAGTATCTCCGTAGATAACCTTGGCCTAGCCGAGATCCCATCGGCGCCATGACCAAGACACATGGCACCTCGCCTGACACTTCGATGCTATCTTGGCCACGTGTTGCCATTCACAAAAATATACCCCCACAGAAAGGAAATAAAGTAAATTTAGAGGTCAATTATATAGCCTCTTGTGTCAAGTTTGGTTCATGTAATTACAACAAGTAATTTTATTTTCACATACTAATTCTTTTCAGTACACATATTTAATGAACATTTTCTCAATATACGTTATAAAATTATAAATTCTTAGTATACATTTTTATGTTCCAATATTACCCTCATTTTCAATTTTAAAACCCTAAGGCTATGTTTGGTTTCAATGTTTGAATCAATTTTTTGAATTTTTTTTGAGAAATTTATAAATTAATTTGACAAAAATAAATAGCAAAAAAATATTTTTTAATTTTAATTTTTTTTTGCTCCTAGAAAGATAAAACCATATTGAAATGAGAAGTTTTTATTTATTATTTTTTAAAATATATTCTAAAACTAGATTAAACATAGTCTTTGTTTTTTTTTATTCACCCACTCCTTTATTGCTGTTGTCGCCACTTTCAACCCTCCATCGCCGCCGCCACTTCTAACTCATCCCCCTCCATCCTAGACCTCAACAGTCAACCTGTGAGTGATTCGCAGTGGAAGACTTGTGCGAGTGTATGATTCATGGCAAAAAGTGATAGCATGCGAAGAGCAAAGAGGAAAAGAGGCGATGGGAGGGGATGGCAGATGAGAGAGGTGGTGCTGGCGATAAAAAATGGTTGTGATCTTTTAGAATTAGGGTTTGAGTAGAAGAAGATAAGGGTATTATAGTATTTTTATTCTAAGACAAAATTGTATTAATGAAAATTTTCATTAAATGTGTGAACTAAGGAGAATTGGTGTGTGGAAATAAAATTACCCAGTTACAACGTATCAATTTTACCTTTTAATTTTTTACATGGGTAAATTACATTTTGCCCCTATTATGTTTTGCTATTTTTTTATTTTGACTCTTAATATTTTTATTTTTTTCACTTTGGCCCTTCACGTTCAAGTTTTTCTAAGTTTTATTTCTAAAATTAATTTTTGTTTAAGATTAGATAGAAAATGTCACAATAACTGTCACATAACATAATATATTATTACATTGGATTTAAGTTTATGTCAGATGTGCAAGTTATATATAATAAAATATTTTTATACCACGTGATTGTTTGTGTCATTTTCTGTCTAATTTTTAATAGAAATTAGCTTAGAAGTGTAATTTACCATTTTTACATTGTGTCAGTTTAATTTATAGTCCGTTTGTGGGAAATTCTATTTCCACACCACATTGTCTCTTTTCACATAATTTCTCACTCCACTCACTTAATAATTTGATTTTTAGATTTTTTAGGTATTTATCTCAGTTTACACACCCCACATGTAAATATACCTATTTAATAAAAAATGTGTGCACACCCTTATCTTCTTCATCTTTCAAACTCTAACCCTAACCAGCAACCACCTCGTCGGTGGCGACGCAGCACCACCATTATTAGGTCAGGTGCCAATTCTGTACCATGAATATGGTGTGCAGTGCTGGTTTGCTCTGGCTTGTCCTCTACACTCTGTACAGAAGAATTAGAAATTGGAAGGTAATGCAAAAGTTCCCTTAGAAAGAAAGACCACATTGACGAAAGATGCTCTGTCGGATGTAACAATGGTAAGATTTCTAGAACAGTACGCTGCACAGGTGGAATATGTCCCTGGAGAAAAGCAGCTGGAATTTCATCATCAAGAATTCATCTGCGGTGGAAACTCGGACCAACTCAATAATTCAAGTTATGTTCTCTCTAAATAAAATAAAATAAAAAAGATAAAGCACAAAAAATGTGTTATGTTTTGTTATATTGTTTTATAACATTGTATACTATGGCCAGGAAAAAGAAATACAGTGGCAGTCGAGGTTTCAGTGATTTTGGGGTTGAAGGAAATCTACCATTATGGAATGAAAAAATTGACTTACAAATTCTGCTTCAAAGTTGTTATTTGTAAACTTGGCTTGTTTGACTGCTATATGTACAACTGCTAGTAACCATGTGTATATGGCATTGTCAAACATCGCTTGTGCTTGCTCATATAATGCTCCTGTCAAAAATTGAAGTTCCAAATAAATACAATTATGCTTCTTTCTCAAAATACAGTGCCCTTACGGGAAGAAAGAACAACAGAATCAGTAAATATCCACTATGTTACATGGACTCGGGTACGGGTGTCGGGTGCGGGTATGTATCTAGAGGTCGGACTCATCAAATCATAAATTTAAGAATACGCGGACTCGGCAAAAAAATGTCATATTTTTATATTTTTAATCTAATATGTGAGATAAAATGGTATTATATTTAACTTATAGTGTCAAAATGACATTTATAGCAATTATACAACAATATGTACATATAATAATAGTGTTATATACAATTATATAAGAAGTATCCGTTGAAAAGTATCCGACACATATCTCATACCCTTGTCCGAGTGTCGGGTGTCCGACACGGGTATTTGATTTATTTTGAAGAGTCCATGTAACATAGAATATCCATGTAGAGGTGGCAGGTGGTGGTCGGCGATGGCTACCGGTAGTAGGTAGTGACTAGGGTTTTGATTGAGGGTTAGGGTTTTGATTGAAGGAGAAAGGGGTATTTTGGGAGTTTTATTTTAGAACAAAAATGTAATAAAAAAAATTCATTAAGTGTGTTGATAGAGAGTAAATGGTGTGTGGAAATAGAATTTCCTTCCGTTTGTTTGAGCCGAAAATATTTTTTAGGGAAAATATTTTTTACGGAAATTTTTTTACAAAATATTTTTCGAAGAAAATAATTTACCATTTGGTTTTGGTGGTGGTGATATGGTGGTAGAGGTGAGAGTGTCGATAGTAGTGTGGTAGGGGTGGACAAACATTGGATTGGGTTGGATTGGCACTATATATTAAAAATATGTATCTCATCCCAAGCACGCCCCAGCCGACACAAGACCTAGACTAGCCAATTATCTATTTTAGAAAACTAGTGGCAAATTTACTTGACTTAAAAATAACAAAACTTTTAGCTAAAAAAAATATATATATATATTTGAAGGAAATTTCTGTTTCAATTTTGCAACTTCCATTGACAATTGTTTGGATATACATCTTGTCATAGTTGCCTGGATATTTTGTTGACAGATAATTGATTTTCCAAGCTATTCTTATGATTATAATCAAACATTAAGAAACTTTGAGTCAATCTCCAACCAACCAGAAAATATTTCGATGCTGGAAACCTTTTGCATTTGTTTTCCAAGCTGTTTTTGCGATTATAATCAAACATTTGAAAGTAGAAGCAATCTCAAGCTCATAGGAAAATGTTTCAAGGCCAAATCCTGTTTCTTTGTTCAAAACATCATGGGGAAACAATTGGAGCCTCGATTGATTTTTACACAAAAAGGTTGATTATCAAACCTGTTTCTATTCTCAGGTTTTTCTTGTTGCTAAAGATTTTGGGACTCGAACTGGTTTCTTTTTTGCCCTTCTCTACCCAGAGAGGGTCTCGGGAATCATAACTATGGGTGTGCCATTTGTTCCCCCTAGTCCCTTTGAATTCGGCAAAAACCTTCCTGAAGGTTTCTACATGTCAAGGTGGAAGGTGTGTTGTAACTTCATCAATTTGTTTTCTTTTTTAAGTTTTTATTTATGATTGAGAACTCCGCCTAGTCAGGGTCATTTGGACACACCCCAGGTGTGTAAACTAGGGGTTCAAAGGCCATCCCCTAAGCCTATGAACCAATGAGTTGGACAAACGGAGGGGTGTTGAACCTCAGACCTCCTGGATGAGAACTTGGGCTACTGATCATATGAGCTACCTCTTATGAGGATTAAAGAAACAATCTTAACTGCTTTCGATTTGATGTTTTGTGATCTCAATACTAGGAACCTGGACGAGCTGAAGCTGATTTTGGCCGGTTTGATGCTAAAACTGTTGTACGGAACATCTACATTCTCTTCTCCAAAAGTGAAATACCAATAGCAGCAGAAAACCAAGAAATGATGGATTTGGTGGAACCGTCTACTTCTCTGCCCACTTGGTTCACGGAGGAAGATCTTGAAGCGTATGAAGCTTTGTACAAGAAATCTGGATTCCTCACTGCCTTGCGAATTCCTTACAGGTAAATTGGATTTGTCCTGTGTTCACATTAGTCAAGTACTTAATATTAGGCCCTGGTTGTTTGACCTGATTATATTTCTTTTTATTCAAAATTAAACAGTTAGTGTGTTGATAAACTTATTTCACAAACTACGTTAAAATGTGGATAGCAATCATGTTTTTGTTAAAAAAAGGTTATTACTAATAACTTATTATATCCAATCGCTTATCTGTAACTTATCTCCATAATTCTATCATTATTCAATCCATAGTATAACTTATTCATTAGAATCCTATCAATAATCTCATCATATCTCATCGCCTGCGTGTTAAATCATGGTATATAACTTATGTGATTGAATTAAGGTTGGCTAAAGGAAACTTTTTTACAGGATTGGCTACCATCTAATAATATAGCTTCATCTATTCAAATAATAATAATAATAATAATAATAATAATAATAATATAGCTTCACTTATGTGTTGTTTTATAGGTCTGTCGAAGAAGAGTTCAACTTTCCAAATATGAAAGTAGAAGCTCCGACATTACTGATCATGGGCGAGAAGGATTATTTTCTCAAATTTCCAGGAGTGGAGGACTACATAAGGAGCGGACAAGTGAAAGTGTTTGTCCCTGACTTGGAGATAACATACTTGCCTGAAGGAAGTCATTTCGTTCAGGAGCAACTCCCCAATGAGGTGAACCAAATAGTCCTTACCTTCCTCAAGAAGCATAGTTGTTGATTTCAAACATTCAAGGTTGGTTTGTTGTTGTCATTTGAAGTGTGTTGAAAGGTTTGGTTGGAGCTCAAGATAATACTATGAGAAATTTGAAGTCACATTAATATATGCCAATTGTGACATGAATAATTAACTATGTTAGGCGTTATTAACACTTTGTAGTTCTTTTGTATGTCTTGTAATTTATGTGTAAGACATTGATGGCACTTTTGCAACAAAGTTGATTGACGAATTTCCTGTGATATTCATTCTAGCTGTGCATCATTTTTTTCTCTCTTTTTTTATGGGTAAAGAATCTGCCATGATAAATTAGCTTTTTCATCAGTGGCAACCACCTTCATCCACTAGCTCTTGCAAATAATATTTTTCATTTATTTTCAAAAATAAAATTTTAAAATACTAGCATACTAAATTGTTTTTTTATTTTATTTTTATCAAAAATAAATATAAGCACATTAATATTTGCTACAAACTAAAAAGTAAACTTTACTAAATGAATAAAATGATATACTATGTTCAACGCCCATTGAATGGTTACGATAGCAATTCCGTTAACCCGAAAAAAAAAAAAGGTAAAATGCACTGAACTCTATGTGATTTTGGCCGATTGCAGATGATCCCTTGAGATTTGAATATATATAGACATCTCCTTTATGATTTTGGATTGATCTGTAACTGTTATCTTTTTCATCCAAACAAACGGTAAGTGGATTGCACGTGTCTCATTTGTAAGTATTGCTCTGTTTGACAAATTTTCGTCCAAAAATGATTTGTCCAAAAGACCAAAATTACCCTTCACTATATAAGACAATACTATTAAATGGGTGTTAAAACATCCACAAAAACCCAAATTGATTATTTTATTTATATATTTTTATCTCTTATTTATTTTTTTATTTAATCAAATATTAATTTGTCTTCCACTCTATTTTCTTCTACTCTGTTGTGCTAGTAGATGACTGTCTTTTTTTCTTTTTTCTTTTCTACTTTTTAGTTTTATTGTTTAGGTTTATTTTTTGTTTAAATCATAAAATTACCTTAATCTAATTTTCAACCCACTTTTTATTTAACAATATTTTAAAATAAACATATATATATAACAAATTAAATCATAAAAATTTGTTGCTATAATGTTATTAAATAAGGTAATTTTATAGTAATAAATTAGAGTATTTAGTTTAATCTATGATTTAATTTTTTATATATTTAAAATGTTATTAAATAAGGTAATTTTATAGTAATAAATTAGAGTATTTAGTTTAATCTATGATTTAATTTTTTATATATTTAAAATGTTATTAAATAAGGTAATTTTATAGTAATAAATTAGAGTATTTAGTTTAATCTATGATTTAATTTTTTATATATTTAAAATGTTATTAAATAAGGTAATTTTATAGTAATAAATTAGAGTATTTAGTTTAATCTATGATTTAATTTTTTATATATTTAAAATGTTATTAAATAAGGTAATTTTATAGTAATAAATTAGAGTATTTAGTTTAATCTATGATTTAATTTATATATAATTTAAAATGTTATTAAATAAGAAATGAAGTTAAAAATTAATAATTAATTAAGGTATTTTCATGATAATAAATTAAGGAAGTTAGATTAATTTATAATTTATATATGCATATGTTTAATTTAAAATATTATTAAATAAGGTAATTTTATAGTAATAAATTAGAGTATTTAGTTTAATCTATGATTTAATTTTTTATATATTTAAAATGTTATTAAATAAAAAAAGTGGGTTACAAATTTAAAAATAGATTAAAGTAATTTTATGGTTTGATTTTATGGCAATAAATTTGTTTAGATTAATTTATGAATATATGTATATATAATTTAAAATATTATTAAATAAGAAATTAAGGTGATTTTATGATAATGGATTAGGGTGTATAAGTTATTATATGATTTAATTTGTTAAATATGTGATTAATATAGAAAATTATAAGAGAAAGAGAGAGAGAGGGAGAGAGAGAAGCTTAAGGGTAAATTAGTCTTTTTAATGTTTACTATTAACGGTATTATGATTGCAATTCAGTCCAAAATTACAAAAGAGGTGTCTATATACATTCAAGTCTCAAGAGGGGTCATCTGCAATAACCCAAAGTTACATGGGATAAAGTGCTTTTTACCTCAAAAAAAAAAAAAAAAAAAAAAAAAAAAAAAAAAAAAAAAAAAAAAAAAAAAAAAGAGATAAATTATACTGGTCTCTTCAGAAATTTGAAACAAATAAAATAAGTTTTATAGTTTTAGATAATTATACTGATTTTTTAAAGTTAAACCGACTGAAAGTACAGTACATGGCGTGAAAATATAAAAATAAATAATATGAGTATATATTTTTGTGTAAAAGGGATAATAAATATCATTGTTTTAATCTATAAACTAGCAAATTATTAATAAAAAAGGAATTAAGTAATTTATGAATTAAAATTTCAAGAAAACTTAATATAATTATACCAAAATTGTGAAACCGCAACTGATATTAGGGATTCGGGTTTTGGGGGGTTTGGGTTAAGGAAAATGTTATAAGTCTCAAATTTTTTAATAAATAAATAACCAAATGTCTTACATGAGTGTGAGGACTCTACACCCACATTTGGTAGAAAATTTTGTATCCCTAATATCACCCTTGGGTTATACAATAATGCATTTTTAATGACACATGGCTTCCATGTGGCATTTTTTGTCCAAAATTTGACAAACGTTAGCGTTATAAATGTATTGGGAAAAATTTGAAATGTAACGGCCAGATGGAGAAAAATAAAAAAGTCAAATTTAAAAGGGACAAAGTATAATTTATTCAAAACAAAATCAAAACTCACTAATAAAATCAAATTTTACCCCCAAAAAATTAAGGAAAAGCTTCTCTTCAGTTCAAATTGAATTGAAGGTTACTGTTGGGCTTCCATGGGCTTACTATGGAGCCCTTATCGATAATCCAAACAGTTCAATGTGTAAAAATCGTCAAGTACTTCATCCCTACAAAAAATCACGTTGATTGAATATTGGTAGCCACTTGATTATATCACATTTATGTCAATGATAAGTATAATTTTTAAAATAAATTGTTGATACAAATGTGACCTGATCAAATAGCTATCGATATCCAATTAATATAATTTTTTATAAAGATAAAGTACTTAACAAATTTTATATATTCAACGATTTGGATTATTGATACGAATTCTATAATAAATCTACAAAAACCCAACAATATCCTCCAATTTAAAAACTCAACTGGAGACCTCTCCCAAAAAACAATGTAAGATTATTTGAGAACCTTTTTCGCACGGCAATCCAGATCTTCACATTGTTACGATTTGAGGTTAATTAGCCGTTGACCCGAACAATCCACGTGTTATTTTTTTTAATTATTTGATTATGTATTATAAAAGTATGATTTTAATATTAATTTAAAAATTAAAATTAAAATTAAAGTATAATTTTAATTAATTATTTTGATAATATTGATATTATCGTTTTATAAAATTGTTACTTGAATACTTATATATATTAATTTTAGTTAAATTATTTGTATGTTTTAATAATTTTAGTTCTATTATATTATAAAAATATAATTATTATATAATAATTTTATATGATATGCCACGTAAAATTAAAAGTAATTCTAATTATATAATTTTCTTTTATATTCATTTGGAAAATAAAAATATATAGAAATAGAAATTATATAAAATTTATTAAAATAATCAAATATAAATATGTTGTGGTTGGATTATCATATAATGATTTTATATGATATATATTAAATTATAAGATTGTAAAATAAACATTCTTAATTAAATTAAAATATAACTATATAAAAGAAATTCAATAACGACTAACTAAAAAAGAATTACATAACAACATCTAAACTCAAAAAGAAAAAATAATGAAAACATTCAAACAATAAATACACCTCAGTATGAGAAGTGATTAATCATCTGTAATATGATGTCAAAACATAAAAGAACTTACTGTTCAACAATTGAAAAAATAACTCAAGTAGTAAATCCAAAATTTATAGTTTTTTCTCGAGAGTATTATTATTGTGTAGGTTTTTTCTCAGGTGTGTTGTGAGTATATAAAATAATATAAAGAATGAAATATAATTTCATATATAGAATTACTATAAAATTTAAAAGATAAATCCATAATATAAAATAATATATAATTGATATTGGATATAGAATAATGCACAAGAAAATAAAAAGAAAAAAAAGGCAATTTAGCATTAAAAAAAATCCTAATACCCTTGAAAAAATTAAGAAAAAAAAAATGTGAAATGTAAAATTGATATTGAGTTTGTGGATTATCTCAATTTATCATGAAAAATGATAAAAAAAATATTTGTCAAATAAAGTCCATATAAAATAAGTAAAATTAATATAATTTAAATTAGATTTGAGTTTGTGTAGAACTCAATATGTAATTAATAAAATATATAATGACATGACTCTCTTAAAAAGAATAAGGCCTTATAATGAGCTACCTAAGTAAGGCAAAAACATTTCTTTGAATAATATATATATACTAGTGTATGCCCGTGCCTGAAGGCACGGTGTAAATAATGTTAGGATTACAATACAATTGTAATCGCACCACTATTTAAATTTAAGATGAAAATGAAATTATAAAAATATATTTAATAGACTACACTCAACAATTCTAAACAAATCAAATATAAAAAAAAAAATTAAATATCAAATAATGCACACCAGCCAGTACTCTGCAATTTTAAAGCAATTAAAAACTAATCATGGGACTAAAGATATCCAATTAATTTTTATTTTTTATTTTTATAGATGATCTACTGAACGGACCTTACAATATGAACGTTTCGAATAATTAAAAGTTGCTCCTCATAACTTGAGTTTTACAAATTTGTTCTTAATAAAATTGATATATGTAAATTTGTTTTTTCAAGATCTTTCAAATAAGACTAATATTGAATTTTTTTTTTTTTTTAAAGTAATCACTCAAAATCGCCTTTCGTAGTTTCATATGCATAAATCTAAAAACAAAAACAGCAAAACAAAACAAAATTTGTCCAAAATAGATTACCAAGTGCAAAGTTATGACATGTTAAAGATGTAATCCCACAAATGTTTTTTTTTTAAATACTGAATTTATACATGGGTTTGTGCAAACTAATTCTTGTTCTTAAAATACTATTTATACACGCGATGTCTATTTATTTTATTTTAAATAGAATAGACAATATTAATATTTTATTTTAAATAGAATAGACAATACTAATAGTATTTTTTCTATTCTATTATTAAAAGGGAACAGCTTTCTTGGAGTCTTGAAGCCATTGTCTAAGAAATTTTTTCCTATTTCTCCTAAAATGACCTTAAATTTGTAAATAATCGTACTATTTTTACACTTATATCAATTTCTAATTAAGGGTAACATGATAAATTATTAATTCACAAACTGAATAACCTCCACTATCCACGTTTCACAAAGTGGTACAGTTCCATGTTTACAAAACAACTGCTGCTGGTAGCCATTTTCGAGTTCCCTCTCTATTCACAAACTTTTTCTTCTCTTTTGGGAAAACACTATTCAGCTTTTGATATAACTTTTTCCTTTTTTTTTGTATTTGGTGGAGAAAGACTAATCAACTACATTCAATCTTATGGACTAATCATCTAACACTTTAAGTGTACTACTGTTAAGCTTTTGTTTGTTTTTTTGTGTATAAATTCAGTAGTTTAAAATTAAATTTGTTTGTTTACTTAATTTTGTGTGTTTGTTATTTAAAATAAAATTAAGTGTTAGTTTATTTATTTATTACAACCAATAAAAAAATCAAGGAAAATTAGATGCCAATGGAAATAACAATACAATACCTTTTGTCCCGATAAGCCTGACAGACTCACTCTCACACCAATCTCTGAAGTCCATGGCCTCTGCAAGGATTGGAGGTTAAAAGGTCACTTAAATTATTCAATTAGAAAGCCTACTAGCCATAATGGTTTACCTGATTGCTTGGTCATGGCATCCTTTTTCCCTTTCAGGGACAATGGAGCAGAGGCAGGTGATAATGAAAGAGAATCAGCAGGTCTGCCACCCGTAGATTTCTGTCGGCCCAATGACCCTCCAAGAGTTCCTTTCACAGGGGTGTTTTTACTTCCCCAACTGCCCTGGTTTGCAAGATGAGGAAAATCCAACCTTCTTGCAGGAAACATGACCTCTTAATTTTGCCTTTACACTTTATCATTGTAAATAATTCAAACAACAATAGGTTCATAAAACCAATAGCCTTGATAATCGCATTGACACTTCTAGATAGTAGTTGTATTCATGTTGGACACCAACATTCAAACAAACACTTAATGGGTGTGACTTCTAATTCTAAATTATAGAGTTTTTATTTCTCACTTTCTTTTTCCCCTTTTTCTTTCAAATTTCTCAGCAACCAAAATACTGCACAAAAGAAATAAATAGAATGAACAACATAAACTCATTCATATTGGTATCAAACAAATAAGCTAAATCTGGAAAGCATAGATTTCAGAAAAAACAACTATGTTAACTATTCAAGAACTCGATGAGGCTTATAATCTTGAACCCGAACCAGAAAACCCCCAGCACAAACCCATGAAATGGACAGCTCAAGAAAACCCAACTGTCGATTCAGTTAAAAAATGGAAGAATCTCTCAGACCCATTCAAACAAACACTTAATGGGTGCGACTTCTAATTCTAAATTATAGAGTTTTTATTTCTCTCTTTCTTTTTCCCTTTTTTTCTTCCAAATTTCTCAGCAACCAAACTTATACTACACAAAAGAAATAAATAGAATAAACAACATAAAATAAGCTAAATCTGGAAAGCATAGATTTCAGAAAAAACAACTATGTTAACTACTCAAGAACTCGATGAGGCTTATAAGATTTCCATGACAAAAATGATTCAAAAATTTCAAATCAAAGGGTTGCGAATTGAAGCCAGTCGCAGAGAAGGGAGAGATAAAGAAGAGGAACAAAGAGGGATTGAGATAAACAGAAATGAGAATCTCACCTGAAATATTTTTCTGCTTTCTTCGCAAGCCTTTGAAGGCAAAATCTGAAATCGCAATTCAAAGCAAAGGGTTTTCTGCAGTCGGAGAGAAGAAGAAAATCTGAAATCGCAATTCAAAGCAAAGGGTTGCGAATTGAAATCTGAAACTGAAGAGGAACAAAGAGGGAGAGGGAGATACAGTCGAAGAGAAGGGAGATGATGATAAACAGAAATGAGAATTTCACCTGAAATATTTTTCTGCTTTCTTCGCAAGCCTTTGAAGGCAAAATCTGAAACTGAAATATTTTTCTGCAGTCGGAGAGAAGGGAGAGATAAAGAAGAGGAACAAAGACGAAACAAAGAGGGAGATAGAGATAAGGATGAAATGGGAGGAGACATGCAACAGAAAGGGAGAGAGAGATAAAGATGGAAGGGAGAGGAGACGTGGGAAAGAGAGAGAGAGAGAGTAGAGTGTGTTTGGACGGGAAACAAATTAGAAACAAATTAAGGGGGTCATCTCAGCCATCTATCTAAATAGACAAATGAATCATAACCATTGAAATGTCCTAGTAGGACAATTGTGTCTAACATATTTTCAAAATTCGTTCTGCTTTATTATATAGATATATATGATTGGCTTTTGGAATTTGATTTCTCAAAGCTCCAACCTCTTACTCCTCTGTCTATATCTTCTGTATATTAGCAGAGAAATTTAATTATAGGTAAATTACATGATCTTTTTATGTTTAGTTATTTTCTTATTTTATTCTTTATTTTATTTTATTTTTTTGTTTCATTTCTCATATTTCAAAATTTGCTCAATTTATTTCTAAAATTAATTTTTGTTCAAAATTAGAGGAATAATGATACGTCAATTGTCACATAACATAAAAAATATATTATCATATTAGGATTTGGATTTGACTTAGAGATATAAGTTATACATAATAAAATATTTTTGTACTATGTGGTTGTTAATGAGTCAATTTCTGTTTAATTTTTTTGGAGTAAATTGAAAACAAACTGAAATATGAAGGGTGAAAGTAAAATAATAGAACTTTAAGAACTAATGTAGAAAAATAAATAAATATAAAAGAAGCAAAATGTAATTTATCCTTAATTATATGTACGATTGTGTGCGAGTTACAATTTAGTGAGTTAACTCACTATGAATAACCCATCCAGTTTTAGATTAGTGACCCACTGAATTGAATGGAGTGCGAGGAAATAAATTATTTTGCCCTTAAAAAGACTGCATGTGCTGTTCACATGCACTTTTTCTATTAAAAATGTAATCGAAAGTTATTAATTGAATTAAATTGATATATAATTCAAAATTTAAAAACAAAATCGAGTCAATTAAAATTACATAAGAGATAGAGTATAAGAATTACATGAGTAATTTATATATTCTTTTTGTTAATATCATTACACTTTTGAATATGTGATTTATATATTTAAACTAATCATATTTTATGTATAATTACGTGCACCAAAAAAAAAAAAAAAAAAAGTGTGAACCAAAATTATTTTCATGGTTAATGATCAAGTACTGCAAAAAGAAACAATTTCATTTCAATGCAAATTTTTATATACTTTTACGCTGTATTTGGTTGGAGGATTTATGGAGGAATTTGGAAAGGAAAAGGGAAAAAGTGTGTGAAACTAGGTAAAATATAAGTATGTTTTATTCACATTTCATCTACCATTTTCATTTCTCTTTCTAAATCTCTCCTCTAATCCCCTAACCAAACACAGCATTATACCATTTTCTTACATATTTCAACGTGATTGTGCAGTTACGTGTAGTGTGTCCAACAAATTACAGAATGTCTAAGAATTATATGGTCCTAAAAATAAGAGAATGGTAGGGAAATTGAGAGGGTAATTTTTGGTGAAAATTGGGCCGAGTTGTGAGATAGACTTTTTGGCCCAAAGTACGGACTGTGTAAAAAGGCCGTAATGTTACTCCGGCCCAAGAGAGGTACAGTTACTCCGGCCCAGGGGGGATAAAGTCACTCCGGTCCTTCTGGAATGTTAAGTTACTTCGGTCTGGACAAATCGGAGTTAGGCCAGTCTACAAGTTGGTTCGGTCATGACGTGATCTGGTTAGGTCGGTCAGAACTTTGCTACCCGGAAGCCCGATCTAAACACACCATGGTTGAACGGAAGAAAACCGAGATAAGGAGTAGAAGGAGAAAACCGAACTAAGTATAGTTCGGCCTTCTCTGTGGCTCAGCCAGTGTTACTTCGGTCATGTGGTAGTTCGGCCATGGTACAAACCATCTCACTTGGTTTAAGCAGTGAGGGGGGTGTTGAAGGATAAGCATAATCTTTCAGGAGTATGAATCCTAGGAGGACTCTGCATGGAGGAGTATGAGTCCTACTAGGATTATGCCACTCGAAACCTATAAAAGCTCACAAACATCACCTTGGAGGAGGTAATATAACACAACATACAATTTTGCTTCCTGAATACATTGAGCTTTGTCTATTTGTCAAGTTTTCTGACTTAGGCATCGGAGAGGTTTCCGGCACACACCCGCCGGCTAGCTCACGTTTGTGTTTTCAGGTGACAAAGCGACGTCGTACGGAGGAGCGTGGACTTAGTCAACAGGATTATACGAGGAGAATTATTTCTTCCCCGTACAGAAATAATTAAAAACATTGAGAAATTTTTGGATGTCAAGAGGATAGATGTTATGTGATATTTTCTTTTATTGTGATTAAATTTGATAGTGGAGTCTATTACATTTATGTTTGGTGTTTGAGAGATAGTAGAGACATGCATTTATACCACTTACCAGTGTCATGTAATATCCTCTTGGCATACAAAAATTTCTCAAAAACAAGAAAATAGTAGAGAAATAAGGTAGCATTTGGTTCACTAGAATAAAATAGAATGGAATAATCATTTCATCAAAATATTCATTTTCATGTTTGGTTAGACTAACAAAATGATGACAAATGTAATATAAATGTAATCATCTTACATAATTTTAAGCGAATGATCATTCCATAAGAAAAGTAACCACTATTTCATTCTCTCATTCCAAAGAAATTATTTAATGCTCCTGAAGTAAATTTAGATGACTCGAAATGAGCACACGACCATGTGATTTTATAATTTTTGAGAGGCATTGCTATTCTGAGGTAAAAGTTAAACTTATTTTTTAGATCTATTAATGTGGCAATCAAATTGAATATTTTTTTTGAGAAAATATAAAGAAGTTACATTAAAAAAAAAAAAAAAAAAAAGAGTAAATTACAAACACACTCCCTGAAATTTGTTTTAGATACAAATTATTTCCTGTGATTTAAAAATTACATCCCGCCCCTTAAAGTTTCAAATTTAATAACGAATAGTCTCTTTTATTAATAAATCGTCAAGTTAATTAATAACTTTTAATGATGTCAGAAATTTATTTAATTAATAATTTATGTAATTTTATTATTGTATAAGAGAACAATTAAAAAAATTATTTTTTCAATTAATCTATAAATTAAAAATTATAACAAGAGATTATTTATAATTTTTCAAACAATAGAAGACAATCCGTATTTTAAGCAAATCTTAAGAAATATATTTGTGAGCAACATACAAATCAAGCAAAGAAAAACAATAAGACGTTAAAGGGCTAAATAAACAACTTAACAAGAACTACAAACAACAAAAAAATAAAGCTGAAAAAAAAATACCATCTAAGAAAAATCACCAATTTGCCCGGGATGTGATTTGAAAAAGTAAGATCTGTATTAAACCAACCGTCGTTGTTGTCACTGCTCAACTTTGCCATTGTTGTTGTCAAACTTTAGACACTACCAGAAACTAGAATTAAAGATAAAAAAACACATACAACAACATGAAAAAATGATTGAAAAAAGAAAAAATTATTATGGATGTCGAAAATCCAAACACATTATTCCTCACATAAAATATTCAAATATATACTCGACATTTTACAAGGGTAAAGGAGTTCACGGGACCGTTGTCGGACCATCACGGGAACACGGACAAAAATCACCTACAGAAAAGCTCTTCTGAATCAATCTCTTATATATTTTCTAATCATTATTCAATTATTATTAATTTATATATGATTTTCCTTTCATAGAGGATAGGACAAACATGATGTCTCACCAAATACTTCTTGACGGACCTCAGAATCTCTCTCTCTCTCTACTAATGATGACGAAGAGCAGCAGAGAGCACCACTTAAACAACTGAAGAACTACTATTCGAGAGGCACACTTCAACTCTTTCTCTCTCTCTAAAACTCAAAAATGGATGAGATTGAGCACAGGTACGTTGAAGTGAAAGGTCTGAAGCTCCATGTAGCTGAGATCGGATTGGGCCAATCGGTTATGGTGTTCCTCCACGGGTTTCCCGAGATATGGTACTCCTGGCGCCACCAGATGATCGCCCTCTCCAGCCCCAATTGCCGAGCGATTGCGCCCGATTACAGAGGGTACGGGTTGTCCGACTCACCACCCGAACCCAGAAATGCCTCCTTTGGTGACCTCATCACCGACCTCCTCGCTATCCTTGATGCCCTCAGCCTTCCTAAGGTAGCCATCCCCACAACTCTGTTGGAGAAAAAATGGTTGAATAAGAAATTGCCTCATAAATGTGTATATAACTCACACATTTAAGGCTCATCAGTTTTACAAAATTGATTGGGCAGTTTTGCTAGCATTAGTTGCCAGCCTTGATGGCTAGAGGCTCCTCCCCTCTCCCCCATGGTGTATAAAAGGAGGCCCTATTCCTTGAAAAGAGATATAAAATTTTTCCTTAACATCCATACACTGTTAGTCTACTTCTCCTATAATTTTCTTCCTGAAAGAGAGTGCTGCCGTTGTCCGTTCGCTAAGCTAATCAGAAGGTGCTTCTGTTGTAGCTGGTAAAAATCGTTGTATCCTGGAAAGTAGACGTCGGCGTACCTCCAGCACCCAACGGTGAGGTGGCGAATCTATTTTAAGGAGACTATGGTATCACACAGGCTTCGATTTGCTTCCTTTAACCATTTTATATTTTATCTGTATTTTATTCAGCATGTTATTTTTCCTAGGATTGAAGGTTTGTTTTGTTCATCTCATAATTTTGCGATATGCAATGTGAAATTATGTAATATGAGTAGTTTTTCCCAACAAGCTTAAAATAGATTCGACGTTTATCATAGAATTAGATTAATAGATTCATAGGTGTGTGTAATAATTTTGCATGTAATTGGCCACTGGTAGTACTAGCGAGTTAATTGGTTTATTATATGCATGTACACAGGGTTAAGCTTTTGATTTTGCCATTTTGTGTATGCTACTGTTTGGTCTTCCCATGGCATGGAATAGGCCACTGTTATCAATAGGGAAGAAGAGTTCCATTGGTGCAACATTAATTCACTGTATTTTCTAATTAATTTATTAATTTATGGTGTACCGGTTCATGCCTTGTATTTCTAAATTTACATG